CTATAAGATTGTTTAAATATATCTTCCTAACAGGTTAATTTATTGAGGATATTTAAGTATATTTCATTTTGATTATTGACAATTTAATTTTTAGTACGTTCTGAATCCCAGTTATACTAATATTCTCTGATTTTGGAATATGCAAATACAGAAAAAAAAAAAAAAAAGGGAAAAAGAGAGAGGAGGCAAACGAGAAAACCAACATGGCACTCCATGAAGGCGAAGTTTGCTTCTCAATCGCAGAACTCCAGAATCTCACATTCGTGCAAACGGTTCTTCGAGCTGCCGATGAGGTCAAAGTCTTTGACATAATTGCAGATGCAGAGCCTGAAGCTCAGCTCTTTACAGCCGAAATCGTTTCAAATATTCCCACATCTAATCCCAAAGCTGCAGAGACATTGGATCGGATGCTGAGATCACTTAGTTCTTATGGTTTCTTGATGAATACTTCTTCGAGACAATCCCAAGATGGAGCTCGTTGCGAAAGGACTTAGAGCCTATCCAAGATGTCTCACTTTTTGTTGAGAAACACTGATCAGGCCATTTCCATGGCTGCCGCTTTGCTTGTATGCTCCAGCAGGGAGTCCTTCAAGAGCTATTATGTGTTTAAAGATGCTGTTCTTGAAGAGGGTTTTCCAGCACTTTACGGAGACTCATGTGGTTACTCCCGACGAGTTTAGGTAGATGTATTTAGGCAAACTATTTGATTGATGAGTCAATTACAAATCTCACTAAATTAGTGTTGGATGAAGTGTTAAAAGTATACAAAGGCTTTAAAGGCGTAAAAGAATTGACAGATGTTTGTTGTGGCAATGGAACCACCCTATAACATATGCTCATTCTCTATCCAGACATCCATGGAGTTAACTTGATTTGATCTCCCCATGTTATTGACGCTGCTCTTAAAATCCCAGGTACAATTTTTCTCCCCATCTTATACTCTAGAGTACAAAGAATTAATAGACTAATCATTGAATTAAACCATTTTGAGAGTAGCATCTTTGTCTATACATGGCTATATTAATGAAACACTCAACATTCCATAAAAAAGTTCTAGTAATGACACCATGTATTATTTATGTTTAGATGATGTTGTGAAAATTTAACATATAAGTTGAAACACAAAGTTTATATTTAACTTAAAATTAATTAACAATAAATAGAGAGTTTTTATTATATTTAAACTCATATGCTACCATCATGGGATCTTGAGCTTGCCAGGAATAAGGTTTATGCAAAAATTTAATATGTGAGTTTCAATATCAAATTTATATTTAACCTAAAATTATTATGTGAAATAAGTCAATGCAAGGAAGGTCAAATAATGCCTAGGGACCGAAGGTCCCTCAACACAAACAAAGATCGAGCAAATGTGGCAATGCCCAGTCC